AAAGGATATGGCATATCTGTAATAACCCGACCCTCGCATATGATTTCTGTTATATTCTTAGTCCTCGATTGGTACTTTTAAATGCTTACTGTGTAGTTCCGTGAAAAAAATTATGATTAAGGAAGGAAGTGAAATCCATGTCTACGAATGTCTATCTGTCTCACAAGAAAACCATCTGTCACCATTAACACGTTTAAATTAGAAATTGGAAGCCTTAACAGCTTAATTAGCTAAAATTGATTATATATCTGTGATCAGCATAATTTTTAGGTAATATTAAGCATGTTTGCGAAATTTTAATTTTGGAATGGTTAAACGATTCATTTTTGTCTTATATGCCTTGTTTATATATACTTCCAAGACTTCATGAGCCTTAGTCAAAAAACACAAAAAAAAACGTGAATACCATTTTGGGGGAGAAAAGAAGAGAAAGTGAAGAAGAGAAATCGGGAGAGAAGGGATTCAACAAGAAAGTTCGGCAAAATTGTAGGATTGAATTCAAGGTAAGCTCAATCCTTCTTATTATGGCCACTTAGAGTTTGTAATTGCTGTGTATGTTTGCTTCATGTCTAATTCATGCTTGATTAATGAGGGTTTCTCTCAATTGGTTGCTTAGGCATCTAGATTGGGTGTGGTAGGAAATTATACTTCAATCTGTGGTTTTCTATCATCACTTCATGGAATTATGCATATATCATGTGTTATGTTTCAAGGATATGAAGAACTTGAATCCAAGAATGGAATTAGAGAGAGAGATGGCTTGTTGAAGCTTTTAATCTTGGTTAATTTATTATACTCAAGGTAGAATCCATGTTATAGTGATGTTAGGTGGGCATATTGCATTAACCTAACCTTGGGTTACATGTAAAAATTGAGTGAATACCAGGTTGGGACTCGAATGGAGGTTCAGAATTTCAGAATCTGCTCGGTCCGCTCGAGCGGCAGAAAGTCCGCTCGAGCGGGAAAAACCACCTCTCAGCAGTTTTGTGCATTTTACAGTCCGCTCAAGCGGCCAAAGTGGCGCTCGAGCGGGGGACTCTTTTTCAAGAAAAATTAAATGTCGGTTCAGTTTTAAGTGCTTGTCTCTCTGGTATTTTTAGAATATTTTATAGATGATTTTAAAGCGGTTGTAAATGCATGCAAGGTGTACGACTCAGGAAAAGAAAACTAATGTATTAATTGGGTGCAGGGCACATTCCAGAAGGAAGCAACACGCCACCTCAACACTGTGAGTAGTAGTACCTATGTAATGTTATGCAATTATGTCAATGTTTCAAGGCATGTAAGGCAATTATGTTAATGTCCCAAGCATGTAATGTACTTATGCATGTTTAAGATATGCTAATGGTAAAACATGTAAAGAAAAGCATTTACAAGGGCCTCGTGCCACAAGTTTCAAGTGTATTTCAAGGGCCTCATGCCACAAGTTTCAAGTGAATTGCAAGGGCCTTGTGCCATATGTTCAAGGGCTTCGTGCCATCATGTTTCAAAGGCTTATAGCCACATGTTTATGTCACAAGATTAGGCCTAGGACCATTAAGAACTAAACGCAGAATCAGACACACCAAGTGCATGCTGCATCTTTTATGTATTGATGTATTACTACTCATTGAGCCCGGCTCACTCTCTATTTTGTCTGTTTCTGTAGGTCATCAGTCAGGGGGTCAATCCTAACTTTGACGCCATCCCTTTTGTCAACCTTTACATGTCCAGGCACCATACCAGGCCATTTATCTTTGTGAAGCTGCTAAGATATGGGGTTTACTTTTGAGAACCATCTACGGATGTTGTACATAACTGTCATATTCCTTTTGTTATGCCCAATTATCAGGCTAGGACTGTAAATGTATATGTTGTACGCGATATCTAGGGCTATAGTTCTAAACTTTGTCCGCTTTTGACGATATATGTAATGCATGAGATCCTGGCATGTTAGAAATAGCTCAATGGAGTATGCTTGTATTTATGTTATATGAATATTTTATGCTTCCGATAAGGCCCCGTACGGCATGTACATCAGTTTTTTGTCCGTTTTGCATAGGTCATGCCCGAACCTTTAAGGGCGGGTTGCTGGGCTGTGACAATATCCTTCCCACTCTAATCAGTGCAAGCCAAATGAGATGACAGCACTCTTTGCACGGCATTTAACCAAACAACCGTACTACCTTTGCCCGGCTAGTTCTTGAGACAACCAAGCAACACACAGCATCGCGCAAACCCAGCGCAGCATGCCACCATACTAACGTTGTGCGGTACTCAAACTAGCCCGGCCAACGCCATATGCCCAATTGCGCTTGACCGGTCATCTAAAGATAACTCGGTCCAACCTACCTCACCTGAGCACCACTGGAAGACAACAAAGTTAACACAACCTCGGCCCATATCCGAGGCCCAAACACGTTTAGCTCGGCCCAAACCCAGTTGTCCATGAAACCTTAGCTCGACCCTTTTGTACAACTGGACGGCACAAATTACCCTCTTAGTACACATAATTATTGGCGTAAATCATAATTATTGAGATAAATTTTGAAAATGTTCAATTGTTAACACTATTAATTTATTCGTAATTTTCCTAATGTAATAAATCACATTGTAAAATTTGATTAAATTCAACTTAAAAAAATTATTTCTCCAGAAGCAATTATAACTCGTATAGTCAAACAATATTCTATAAACAATTCATACATTTGGCAAACAACCATCAATTATTTTTACATAATTCCCTAATTCAATTGTTTGTTTAAATCAAGTTTAAAAAAAACAAAAAACAAAATTGTTTGTTTAAATCTTCATTTTTAAACTACTAATACTATAATGTAGTGTTTGGTTCACTGAAATGAAATTGAATTGAATGGAATGAATATTCCTTAATCTGTAAAATTACTTTTCCCTCACAACGGTGAATGATTATTTTGTTTGTAATCTCTTTTAGTAAATCAAACATAAAAATGGACATTATGATAGAATGATTACTCTATTCAACTTTATTTTAATAAATCAAACATAACTTAAGAACGGAATAATTAATCAATCGTAATTGAAGATTGAAATTATTTTAGGACCCTACTTTTTAGACATAATTTGGGGGCCCGAGGAAGCGGCTTTGCCTGCCTTACCTTGGTTCAACCCTAAATATAAACGGTTTGAATCATAAAAATAGGCTCACGACATAACCCCACTAGACCTCATAACGCAAATCCATCAACGGTTGAGATGTTGTGTAGCATTGACACAGATGATGGTAAATAATTTTTTTCTCTTCATACAAATCCAAGTTTTTTTAAAATTTATTTATTGAAAGTTTTTTTTTTTTTGAATTTATTATTATTATTTAAAACTCATGTTGTTTGATATAGTTAATTTTAATCTTAAAATCAAGTTTTGAAAATAAGATTATATTAAATTTCATAATAAATTAATTAAAGTCGTGCATGATTTTAATGAACTAGGTTGAAATACAATTTTAAATTTAAAGTCATAAACCGCTGATTTAATAATAATAATTATTGTCCAAAAGAACCTGAGTTTGGTAGTTAAGTTTTGTAAAGTCTTTGAATTTGGTAAAATACTCAAGAAGAGTGGAAGATGGAGACTGGGGAGGACGACCAATAGGGTAACAATAATACTACCAACTAATAATTATCTAGAAATTTATTTAAAAATATTATTCAGATTTAATTTATATATACACTCAATCCCATGACACATCATTCAATCTCAACCTTTCATTCTTAATTTGGGTATATTTCTAGCACAAATTTTTGGGTACTTCAACTTTTTAATATTACAAATTCAAATTTAACTATTCAAAAATTATTCAAAATTATCATCTTATAATTTAATTTTATTTTACATATAAATTTCATATTAAATAAATTTAATATCAACCACACAATTCTTATTCGAGGTGCTAGCATTTATTCACAGGGGATTCCAATTGGAATTTAGGGCAGATACCGGACAGCTCAGATGACAGCATATAATGCAATGCAAGCAAAAGGACAGCTCATCCCAACACTAAGCCCCCACTTGACTCCAAAAATTCTAGATGTCCTAAAAATTTTATCAAATATTTTATTAAATGTCTCATATGGGTGTGGAACTCACATGGGACTTATATTTTGTGAGTCCCGCACTCATGTGAGACATTTGGTAAAACTTTTAGTAGAATATTTGGGGTCTTTAGCATTATTCCACTTGACTCCCCTCCCTCCCCACCATCACCCTTGTATTTCATTACTGTTTCTTGTTTATTTATTTATTATTTTTTTGAATAAATTTGCCAACCTAAACTTAATAAATAATTTATGTTCATTACTTACTATGGGTCAGTCAACTCCACCACACCCCCACTTTTATTTCAATAATTATTTTTCTTTATGAAATTCAACTTTATAACCCCATGTATGTTGCCTATACCCCAATTCAAGCATTGCTCTTATCCATCTTTTTTTTCTTGGGTCTGTCTTGGACCTAAGCTTTTTAAACCCGACTAGAAAAGCCCAACCCAACCCCACAGCTCGTGACCCGCAAAATGGCCCGGCCTAGCAAGAAAAATTATAGTTACGTTTAGTAGAATTTTAAAATTATGATTTAAAAATAAAGTTGTATTTTAAATTTATGAGTTTTGAAATTATAATTTGAGTATAGAAAATTTATTTGATTGTGAGTTTTAAAAAGAATTTGAATTGAGTGATGTGACATATAATGTTAAAAAGTGAGTGTTTTGAAAAGTATTTTAAAAAGTGAGTGTAGAATTAATTTTTTAAAACTATAACCAAACAACACACTCAAACTAAGCGGTAGAATTAAACTTTAAAACCCCTACAGAACCTATATATATATTTACTATTCTTCAATTTTCAAAATACTTCACTTTGTTCAAGTTCTATAAAATTTTAAGATATAAAAGCACAAAATAGACACGTGGGAGACCTAGCAAAATAAAAGATAAAAGTAAACTCAAAAGAAAATACCCAAAACCATGTGACATGATAAAATTTGAAAGCAAAAAAGTTCATATAGATTGAGTGGAAACATTATCCTGAGTTTGTTTTTGCATAGCATTTCCAAAATGCCTTTCAAATCACAAAATATCAAAATGAGTCTCTTATTTGAGAAACAAAGATGCTTAGTTTGGCAGATCCTAATTTACACAAAACCAAACTCAAAAAACAAACCTACAATAGAAATTTTGCCAAAGAATAGTGTTTTTTTGTTAAATTGATTTTAAATTTTTTTTTTTCCCTGTCATAAATAACAAGATCACTCACCTTTTGTTTTTTGTCTCTTTTTTTTTTTTCTTTTTTATCTCTACTCTTTTGTTTCTATGTTGTCCTGCTTTTTCAGCAATTCCAAGAGGATGATCTTTTAAGCATAGGCTTCATCTGCTTGTCCTCTTCAAGGGAGATCATCCCCAAATGAGAGGGATCCTCCAACATCATCTTTGCCACCAAATATCCAGCTATCGACCAAGTCTGATATTTCCGTGCTTGTTTACCAACGTATCTCCCTCGTGTCCCATCATAATATTCCGGCCAGCTGTCTTTGAGCAGACGGCTCTCGGCAAGATCAATTGCTCGTCTGGCAATTTGAGGCCGTCCCGTTTTGATGCAGGCAGCAGTTACCAACCACAAAAGCACTGCATTCGATATAGGAGAGGGAAAAGCAAAAAATGATGCAACAGGGGAATAGGTTAGTTCAGACATTAATTGGGGAACCAACACATAATTAAAAAGTACAAGAAACTTTGTTTTCTAAACACTGTCAACCCGGAATCCATAAGGAAAAATGAATGGGGTACAATGCAGGAAAGTAAAATTTAAGAGGTAAGAACATGTGTATTCTGCTTAGAAATGATAACTTTCTAGGGCTTTCTTGAGGGATTTATTGACATATTTAACAAAAATACAATAAATTCTGTGTTTCTTTGGAAGTGCAAAAAAATTCCAATTGTGGTAAATATCTGTACATCTACCTATCTATCAATCAGAAATGCATGGAATTGAACAAATTATGAAAATATTTGGAAGGCATTCATGCAGTGTCCCCCCATAGTCATTACAACACAGTAAATGATAAACTTGGAGTCCAATGTTGGAAATTGACAGTCAAAGTGGTAACCCATTAATGCCTTGTGTTTTGTTTTACAAATTTTTTTTTTTTCTTCTTTAATAAAAAATATAAAAAATATATAAAAAAAAAAAAGGTCAAAAAATACATATCATTCAGAGAAAGGGATAGACATTAAATCAACTCGAATATATTGGCAAGTATTGTAAAGGGTAAGCGAGTATGATCTTGGCATCCTGACAGCCAAATGTGAATTTGTGTTCAAAGAAAGGCATAAAAGCCTCAACCACCAGGCATAGCAGCTCAGGTAAACAAATAAATAAAAAAGCGTTAGGCAAGTAAGAGTGACTATTTACATAAATCTTATTATCCTGAAGTCTCTTAGAGGTTAACAAAATTACGATACAAAACCTCAACCATTTCCTCGCAGTGGGCTTCAGGTAAAAATCAAACTGGATAAATAAGAAGTGTTCATGGGAGTTAACAAAGTCTTATCTCGGAGTCACATAGGACATATAACCCTTGCCCACAGGAAAAAAATTCATTAACCCAACTCATTAATTAGTGAGTTCGGCACTAAATTTGCCATGGACTAATTCTGACTATGTGTGGCTGTTAAGATCGTGATGACTATATACGATTTGGCCAAGGCAGAAAGAGTTCTACAAGCTAAGGTTTAATATTCATCCCAGCTATGTTGTGCTGTCCACCTTGAACACTATTCGCAGCAATACACAATAGCAAGAAGTGTTTCGCATCATCAATGTCATATTTATAATCAAATGGCAGAAAGTAAAAACATTAGATCAGAATGAATGACAAGTATGGAAGAACCTGGCCAAGATCCTCCATTATGGTAGCTCCATCTGGTATTCTTCGGATCACAACCAGTTACAATTCGCCATTCATGACTTTCTATTGCAGGATAGCATATCTTCAAAGGCATTTCTCCAACCAACTCTTCCCAGCGTGCTTCTATAAGATCCATAATAGCAGCAGATTGCTCAGGAGTAGCCAAAGAAGACAAAATAGCAATACAATTACCTAAAGCAAACCATCGAAAATCCATCCTTGCTGGGCTAACATTGCCAATAAAATAGCCACCACGTATTGGCATAAAATCAAACACCCATTCTGGGATTGAATCAGGAATAACATTAAACTTATTTACTGCTGTATGAGAATACTCCTCTGTTTTATAGCGGTATATGTCATTTAATTGTTGGAAATCAAGCCAGAAATAACTTCGCATGTGATAACTCAAAGCGTGCAAGCGCTTTACTATTCTCTCCAGAAACTCTTTCCTCTCTGCATTATGTTTCAGCATTGACAAAGAACATCTCAATGCCATAAAGAAAAGTGCTTGAATCTCAATAGGATAACCATAAACACCCTGAAAAATGAATACCTCCCATTAGGATATGCCAATATGTAGATTCTGGGGAATAATACAAAGCTCTTAAAGTGATTCAATAATTATAAATGAAAGAAGAGTGAAGGTACAGTGTGTAATTATTACTTTTTTCTTTCTTTTTGTAATTATAAACTGAACCAAGTTTCAGTAAATGATTGACTAATACAGCTCCAGGGTCAATTACTTTTTTTTTCTTTCTTTTTGGAAATTAAAACTACTAAGTGTCAGTAAAGGATTGAATAATAATACAACTCAATAAATATGTTTCTCCTTTTTTTTTTTTTTTGATAAATAATAAATATGTTTCTCCTTTGATATGTGAATTGGTCTCTGCATTGTGTTATGATGAATGCAATAAAGCAGTGAATTATCTTGACAATAAAAAAAATGCAGTGAATTATCTTGCAATCAGTATTATCAGGACTGAACCAGACTGGCCAGTTGTTAGAATTTACCATCACCTACCACCACTACCACCTCACCTACTCCACTAAACCTAACCCACTACACCACTACCACCTCCACTTCACCAACCTGCCTATATCAATTGTTAAAACCATTGAAATGAAGCTTAAGAAAACTTAAACCACCATATCTTGGATCACATGAACTGCCATGTCCACTACTGTACCTCTACTTTATCAATAGCTTATAGCCTCTTTATGATAAAAATGTCTTTCAATAGAAAGGACCAAAAACAGACGCATACCCTAAGTACACATGATGTATACAAGAGAGGCCACGTAACTATCCAGGAAAAAAAGAAAAGGAAGTCCCACAAATACACTACAAAAGAATCTAAACAAAAAGGAAATGCTCCTGAGCCAAAAGTATAAAAGACGCAACAGGCAAATGTTTACTTCAGTTTGAGCTACATACAGAAATACTCCACATAAACCAATTTAAATTATTTTGTATCTAATTATCAAGCCATCCAAATGATAGACCTAGAGTAGAACCAAGGATCCAAATGAACATTCCTCACTGGACTGGACCAATATCAGGCTTAGTTCTAAACACGACAGGTGGCGGCTCTAGGAATTCTAGTTAGGGTCGACATTCAAAAACTTATATATATATATATAACACTCATCTATAATAAATCTCTCAATTTAAACTTCTCAAATCACAAGCAAAAATGAATTTTAATATATTGATATTTTTTATTCAATCCTTCCATTTTTTTAAATATATGGAGTTATACAATGGGGGAGAGAGAGAGAGAGAGAGAGAGGGAGAAAGTTGGGTCGTAAATATGGATTGGGTTTGATGGACTATAGAAAATTTTACTAAATTGCCCTCCACAAAGCACACATGCAGCGTACGTGATCATTTTTTGTCCAAGTTGCTAACAGTGTGTGACGGCTCGACTAGATTGACACAATTTCTTAAGTTAAAGGACTATATTGCAAAATTGTAAATGCTAGACCTAAATTGAGATTAACCCTAAACCCCACAAGGAGTGTTTTGTAATTTGGTCTTTTGAATTTGATTGGATCTAGGTTTAGCATGGTGTCTAAATATGAGTTATTTTATCAAGTCCTTGTATAGAATTAGTTCGACCTTAATAGTTTCAGAAAAGCATTGTGTTGATTAGAACTCTGTGTAATAATAAAGTTAAAATAGTACTTATGAAAAAGCCTTGTAAAACATTTACAATCGTTTGATTTGCTTCCATTAAATGAAGAGATTTCTTGTTCTTAATAAGACTCCTATAATGATTTCTAGAAATTTTCAGGTTTGTGAATATGGCCTAAGAGCTAATTTTATTGCTTGTAAAAATGTATAATTACTTGCTCATGCCATTTTAGTATCCCATTCCATATATATTCCTGTAAAAATAAAGTTAATTTCTTCTATTTACATTATTAACAAAAAATAGTCCAAAACAACATTCAAGGAACACCTACATAATGATCATTGGTAGGTACGTGGATCACTTGACTTGAATGCTATAATATACTTGTAATATTCATGCTACCTGACAGAATGACCACTGCTAGGATAAATACTTGCAATAATCCCAAGAAATGAGTGCTCATATTACCTTAAACATGGATCACTTGCTTGTATACTACTAATTTTTGCATACAATTGAACTTAATGACATTAGCTTATTACTCGCAGCATTTAAAATGATTTGCTTCGCCTCATGACAAAGGTTCATTTTAGAAATTTCACAAAAGTCTCAAAACACACTTTTTGTTCGAAACTCCATTTCCCATCAGTCATGACTCTATTTCTTCAAGTTGTGCCTTTTAAATGCTAGGGTAAACAAAACTACATGATTTTACTAGTGTATGATATTAATCACCATTGCTACATCTACATGTAAGATATTGTACCTACAGATTGCCTACAACTGCAGATTAAAAAAAAATTAAAAAGAAAGAAAAGACCAATATTGAATTCCAAAATCACAATGAACCGTTCTATATGATGGAGATAATATTCCTGACAAGAATCCTCAACATTTCTTCATCTTAAGCTCAATACCAATTAAAAGATCAGCTATCTTACAAGGGAGAAGGACAATTTGATTCTTAAAACAAAACGACTAGAGAGATAAGAAGCACCAATACGAATCAAATCACTAGTAAAAGTCTCACTTTAACAGTCACAGGAACCCATATGTTTAGTATAGTTGCCCAATAAGAAGCAAAATCAACAGAATGCAGCAGCCACATGAGAGTAAATAAAGCATTGCAAACACATTTTCCTTATTTGAATTTTGTACATAAGAATGCGCTCGTGGAATGATGACCAGACACAGAAAGTACAATTCAACTTCAGTCCATTAAGTAACATTGAGATGGAACATATAATCCAAAACAGAATGTTCAATCAAAAGCCTGAGACCTAACAATAAGATATTTAGGATAAATTACAAATACACCCCCTGAGGCTTGCTTAAAATATAGATTGCCCCCCATGATTTTGAAAATTACAAATACCCCCTTGTCAGAAATTTTTATTTAACAGAATTAACTAAAAAAATGAAATTCATAATTGCTCTCTAATACAATAATAAAATTATCTAAATTATTAATTGAAACATATTTCTAATATCATTAAAAACTATTAATTGACTTCATGATTTATTCATAAAAGGGGTAATTTGTTACGAAATTAGAAACCTCAAGGGGTATAATGTAATTTCCAAAACCACAAGGGATGATTTGTATTTTAATCAAACTTCAGGGGGTGTATTTGTAATTTACCCAAGTATTTTATATAGCATCCTAAAGGTAAGCAACCATGGGAAGAAGAAAAAAATCAGCAACAACAACAAGAAGAACGTTAAGAACATCACTGCCATGGTAGTGGGCAATGCCATGGTTGTTAAAATCGCGATCCGGATCGTAGGATCATACAATCCTACATTGCCAAAACGATCCAAATCGTTGTAGGATCGATGTTATAACAGGATCGCAAGTAGGATCGTGTAGGATCGCATGGGATCATGTAGGATCGTATGGGATCGTGTAGGATCGTATGGTAGGATCGCAAGTAGGATCATAGATTTTATGATTTTTCACCTTATTTTTAATATTTATCATTTTTATTTTTATTTTTATCTTTTTTTTAATAGAAAGTAGGATCTTACGATCCTCGATCCGATCCTACGATCTGATCCACTAGACCCTCTCACCGATCCTACTTAGGATCCCGATTTTAACAACCTTGGGCAATGCATAATATCAGGCTGCATTCCCAACAGGGAGTGACTCTTCCAGGTATGTTTTGGCATAACAAATCTGGAACATTTTATTCCTGAACCAAATAATAGTTAACACGTAATAAGCTTACATATATTCATATTTTGAAAAGTTCTGACTCGTGAAATTATTGTTTAGAACATCATCCACTTTACTCCATCTATTAACTTCAGTTATGGTAAAATATGATTTTTATTTGACAGTCAAAGCATGACGATGATTCACATGGAGGATTCTCCTTGACTGATATGCATCCAACATAGAGAATAACATTGGGATTTTTTAAGCTAAACATATATCCAAGTGAAAGCCTTTACAAATTGCCCTCATTTGTAGGTGCAGACAAACTATCAGATTCATCAAGCTTACAAACACCAACAGAGAAGGACTTGTTGCTGGCATCAAGTGAATTAGTTCATGGCTGAGAGTTGAGAGACTTACTTTCATTTGCAAAACAAAATTTGAATTGTGGAAAATCACGGCAAATCCCAAGTTTTTCACCCTCAGATCTAATTTTAGTAATAATGATAAAATGGAATACTTAGATTGGTCTTGGCAGAGCAAAGCATCAAAAGCATTTTAGTTCATAAGTATAAGAACTTTTGGTCTTGGAAGAGCGAAGCATCACAAACATTTTGATTCATGTGTATAAGAACTTCAACAGCATTATTAAAACTAGATCACAAGGTATCTTACCATTCTTCGATCAATCATTGAACATCCATCAGCACATAGCAGAGTTGGAAATGTATCAAATCCCTCTGATAGACACAGGGCCAGAATGAGCCTCATTCCCTTTTGGCACTCTGGTGTTTCAGCCAGAGTTAGGTCTCCAGTAGACTTTGTATATGCACGCAGCAGAATAATCCACCAGAATCCAGAGTCAACCGGAGCAACTCTTCCAATTGCACTCTCACCAAAATCTGCTGCTATAGTATCTGATTTACGAACTGGATCATGAAGAACTTTGAAACTAGCCGGCATTGCCCCTTCCCCTAGCTTGAATCTGTCAATTCTCTTTTCCCACCCTTGAAGCTGTAGTGTCTTTAGTAGAAAGTTCTTAACTATATCGGGCTCACCATTCATTAGAAAGGCCAGAGCACTTGGTACAAAATCTCGTACAAAAACCTAGACAGTAAACAAAAATTGGACAATTTCAAATTCATTCAAACTCCAATATCAAAATCAACCCAACTTTAACCAACGTCAATCTCAGGTTACTGCATTTCTAGTCTAATGCCAATTTAGCTATCAAATATCTTCCAAATATTAATTGACCAGATTTCATCACATATTGCACCTTAAAGTTTCAAAACCAACATTTTCCAAAGATTAATGTGTTCGAAGTGTTTGGTTAAAACCTTATACCTGATCATAATTAAGAACCTCCTCTGAAGCATGATCATACGCAGCAATTGTGCCAACAGGTTGGCCCCGGAAGAACACCAAAGATCGGCGAAGAGCTTCCCAGGCTTCAGCAACCATTGGGTGCGGCTCAAAGGAGTTCCGAGTTGATGAAGCAGGAGTATCCAATACTGACCGTCCAACAGGTGAGTATGAGATCTCAAAGTTATCTAGGGCTCTTGATAGGCCAATTGACAACTCGCTAAGTGACCTCTCATCAAAGGATCTCTGCCTCTCTATGTTGATCCTCGGCTTCTCAAGAAGCTTTGAGAGATCATAATCGTCTATCTCAGCGATTGAGCAGTGAGAACTCACATTTCTAAGTCCATACTCCTTAGTAACATCCATATTTCTCAGCTCTTCCAGTTAAAGATATCCTGCATCAAAAACAGATACACGTTTAGAGGGAAAAGGTTCCTATATATATATACACAAACATTCAGAGAAAATCATATCTAACAACACCTGAAAATAGACAGACCAATGACAAATAATGAAGCTTTACAACAGTAAAATAAAAAATATAAATAAATAATTGTCTATCAACAAAATTTACAAATTCAGAAAAATAATTAAAGTAATATAACAAACATCTAATTGTGATTAATAATAAAAAAATAAAATAACTAACAGGTTAAAATCTTCTATCCACAAGCATAATTGAAGCATAATTTTCTAATTATGGAAAGAATTGGGGGAAAAAAATGTTAAAATTTTATAGTTACATTCATCAAACAAAACTAAAAGGAATTTAATTACAACAATAAATTCGTTTCGGATAAGTTATCCGAAATAAACATTACATAAGATCACATCTTTTAGAAAATAAACTACATTGTCATATCGTCACAAGAACTCAAGAAGCGTATGACAGAAAATCGAGATCCAGTAATAAATAATAATAATAATAAATAATTTAAGCATATATATGTAAACACAGCTATATATAAAGTCAAACAAAGAAATCAAATCCTAACAAAAGCCGTAACTAAATAAACTTTTAAAGAGGAAATGGAGCAAATTGAGTAGTTTGTAACGTACAAACCAGATCTATAGGTTCATTGCCCGAAATCACGAATAACACATTTATCAAAAGCTTAGAGAGACAGAGAGTGAGAGTGAGACCTTGGATAGCTCAGATGGCGGAGGATGAGATTCCCCGGCGGATGAACGGTACGACGCCGGCGGTGATTTCGCCGGAAAATGATCGGAGAGAAGAGGAGAGAGAAGAAAGGGGAGAGAGAGAAGAAGAAGAAGAAGAAGGGAAAAAATGTACATGTTAGCGGTAGCAGGTATATATAGTCAGAGAGAGAGAGAGCTTTGGAGAGAGAGAGTGGGGCGTGGACCGTCTCTATCGCATTTGTCTAATCTAAATCCAAATGTAAGAAACTTACCGGCATTAACCGGTTATAGAGAAATTCCGGGAAAGTTGGGTATATTTTGCGTTTGGATTTTAAATTATAAAATATATTTGGGTACATAGGTTTGTTTTAAAAAGTAAGTTAAAAATTAATTTTAAAATTTTTTTTGAGAAAATATATAAAAACATAAGAAGGTGGTGCCAGGTAAAATAGGTTAAAAATTAAAAAATACGGGGATTTAGTGGTAACTCCTCACTATCTAATTTATCTTTCAAAATGATAAAAATTATATAAGTACTTTTAAAACTCTCTAATATTTTAAAACTTGTTTCTTTGACTATATTATTCTCATATCTAGCAACTCTCCTATTAAGTCATCTTCACTATGTATTTCAAAGTAAAATTTTACTCTGTATAAAAATAAAATTTTACTCTGAACAAGAGTAAAATGTTACGCTCTGAAACTAAAAGTAAAATTTTACTCTGAAAAACTAGTAAAATGTTAGATTCTACACAAACGTAAAATTTTACTCTGTATAAAAGTAAAATATTACTCTGAAAAATGAATAAACTGTGAGACTCTGAAACTAAAAGTAAAATTTTACTCTATATAAAATTAAAATTTTACTCTGAAAAACTAGTAAAATGTTAGACTCTACAAAAAAATAAAATTTTACTCTGTATAAAAGTAAAATTTTACTCTGAAAAGCAAGTAAACTGTGAGACTTTGAAACTAAAAGTAAAATGTTACTCTATACAAAAGTAAAAAAGCGAAGGCAGTGTTTGTGGCGGCTGAAGTGTTTGGCAATGACCACCTCTTGATAGTAAAATTTTACTGTCATTCTAACGTCAGAGTAAAATTTTACTCTAATTCTCTCAAACAAAAAACAGAGCAATAGAATCAGAGTAAAATTTGACTCTCATTATCTGAAACAAAAAACAGAGCAATAGAACTAGAGTAAAATTTTACACTTATTCTATCAAATGAAATTAGATCAAAAACAACAAAAATAAATCAAAAAACAAACAAACAAACAAACAAATAAACAAAAACAAAGCAAATTAATCAACAAATCAACATATCTAATTGAGAAGAAAAACTTCTAAAACTCGATCAACAATCACAAATCTCAATAAAATGAATACATGTGTTCAACAACGCTCATACACACAAATATATATATAACATTACAACACTCATACATACAAATATTATAGATCGATTCCGTTTGTGTGTTGAGAAAATGAAGGAAAATATTATATAACATTACAACGAAAACTTATGGATCACGTTTCTTACATTTTTTACGAATTTCATTTGTATCAAGTAGTGAAGCCAAAAGAGATCGAGGAAGTTATCTCGTCAAATGAAGAAGAAAACGCGATACTTCTTGTGATCTGTTGCCTCACAATTGCTTGGAAGATGAGGATTAGGTCCTTCAACGTTGAACTATTTCTGGTAATCGAAACTGCTATATTCTTTGTCTGATTGATTCTGATGATCTGTTAGCGTTATTGTTTCAATGAATTTGATCTACTGAAGCTTGGAAGACGCGACTATGGTGTCGCCGACCTTCTGCTGAAGCTTCGAAGACACGACTATGGTGATTATGATACAGTTGATGACGAAACTGATTATATATGCAGAAGCTAAGGGTATAATAGTCATATAAAATATTTAAATAATAAATTTTGTCCTTTATGCAAGACTTTATAATTATAAGGGGGTTTATAAAGTATAATTTTTTTCTTAATCCTTTTAACAATGAAAGGAAAGTTAAGGGAATTTATAGCTAAATTTCTCTAAAAAATAACTTTTAATCAAGTTTTTAAAATAGGTCAAAATAAATAAATAAATAAATAATTGAAAATATTTTTTATTTAAAATATAAAAATAATAGGTGTCAAAAAAAAAAGAACACTGTTCCGGTCAACTAGCCGGACATGTGGGAGACATCCAAGAGGATGACCGAGTAGACGTGTTTGCACATTGCATCGTTGAAGGGGGGAGACCGTCGCCTTGCCTACGTTAGTGAATATCCTTAGGCCCGTTTGTTTGAAGTTTTAGGAAGGGGATTGGGACTACTAATACCTTGGTATTACTAAGATCTTGTTTGTTTTGAAAGATGGTTTTGGGACTACTAATACCTTAGTATTACTAATACCCTTGGAAGGAGAATTCATAGTGAGGAGGTAGAGATAGTATTAGAAAAATAGTGAGGGGATTAGAAATTTTTTTATTTTTTTTATTTTTTGTGTATTGGGAATTTTTTTAAAAATATTAATGTTTAATTTTTATATTTTTTTATTTATTTTATTATTTTATATAAAAATAATTTAACAATTTCTCACTATTAATCCCCTCACTATTAATCCTCTCACTAACAATCCCCTCACTATCAATCCCCTCCATTCTATCTCTGAAAACAAACGGGCCTTAGGGCTTATTTGGAAATTATATTTTTAATTATTACGAAAAATGTGTAAAAAATAAAAAAATAAAAATGAGTTGACTTTTTATAATAATTTTTTGATATTTCAGCTAAAAACTAGCCTTTTCAAAAGATGACGATATAAGGGTTCAATGAGAATATGCAATACTTAAAGATATAAGATGTGACATAATATATTATAGGATATAAGATAGATTATATATATTATATGGTCATTTATACTATATTTGGTTAAGGTATAATATATGATGGGATAAGAAGAAAGTGATTATTTATTATCTTTAGATGAAAAATGAGTCATATCTAGCAGTGGGAGATATACAATTTCATGGGAGTGCATATCTCCTTTTTGCATCATATACTATCTATGTTCTCTATATCCGGAATAACTAAACACGGAATATAGAAAGATAAAAAAATACTATGTAAAATCTAATTTATATTATATCTGACTCCACATCATATTCGACTTTTATATATAGTAAACAAACAGCACTTAAAAACGTATTTACATTTGATTTTAATTCATATACGTGACTTGTAATTGTGAATGCATGGATCTAGAGTCACATAGCTTCCATAGTTTTATAATTCACAGTTTTGCCAAGTGTGAAACTTCACATGTTAATCCAAAAAGTTAGATGAGTTAGTAAGATAACGGTACGTATAATTTAAAGTTATGGGTTCGAAATCTATACTAACCTTCTTATAATCCTTGATTGAAATTGGGAGTGGGGTGGATTTCTCGACATCTTCTCCCGATTTGCCTTGTAAAGTCGGGTTATAAATGAGCCGGCCTTAGTGGTTCTCGGGTCATCAAAAAAAAAAAAAATTACACATGCTCCCAAACACAAAAAATTGAGAAATTAAGGATCCGTTTGGCATTTTAAAAAAAGTTTGGAGTTTTAAATTGTATTTTGAAAGAGAAGTATTTGAAAAGAGTTTTAAAAATTGAAAACTTGTTTGGTTATGAGTTTTAAAAATAATTTTGGAAAGATTTGTAATTTTTTTTTATTTTTTTGTGGTTGAGTACATGAGTGCGAGAGAAAAAATTAATTAATGTATAGAATGTGAGAGAATGAGAGAAAAGAAAAGAGAAAGAAAAGTGATTCATTGATGTAAGAGAGAGAGAGAGAGAGTGAGTGGAGTAGCGTTTGGTAGAGTTTTAGAATTATGATTTAAAAATAGAGTTGTATTTTCAGTTTGTGAGTTTTGGAATTATGATTTAAGTGTAAAAAATTTGTTTGGTTGTAAGTTTTGAATTGAGTTTGATATTTTGATGTGACATATGATATTTGATTCAAAAACTTACAACTCATAACTAAACACACAACCCAAAATTCTATTCAAAGCTCATAAAAAAAATTTAAAATTGAAAATATTTTTTATTTAAAATATAAAAATAACAGGTGTCAAAAAAAAAAGAACACTGTTCCGGTCAACTAGCCGGACATGTGGGAGACATCCAAGAGGATGACCGAGTAGACGTGTTTGCACAAGTGGGTGTCAAATCAATTTTTGAAAAATGTAACCAAGCACCTACTTCATACCAAGCGGTGAAATTAAATTTGGAAAGCTCTACCAAATAGATTTTTTGATTTTTCAATCCAAAAATTAATTTAAAAATTAAACCAAACACTGTCTGATATTTTTACAAAAAATTTCATAGTTGACAGAAAAAAGAGAAGTTTATTAACTTGCGTAAAGTTCTAGTTTATGGACAAGATTGTGAAATTTTGCATAGTAATTGTATTTTTTAAAAAATCTCAGATGGAATGGGTGTAATTTAACTTTTTTTTAATAAATATTAAAATATATAGTATTGTTGTAAATTTTAACTCTAAATTTAGATAAGGGTTTGTCATGGGATAAACCCTAAATTTAGATATTCTTGATTTTACTCCTCTCTAAGATGGTGGTTGAGGTGATTTATAGTCATGAGTAATTAGGAGTTGTTTGCCATATACTAAAAAATATATATTTTTTTTTATCTTTTTATTTTTTTTAAGTAATATTACCTATCTACTTTTTTATATTATTTTCATAAAAAATCAAAAGATATACTTATTTACATGAAAATTTGAATATAATCCCATTGAAAAATGTTTAGAAGTACTAATTGAGCACTCTTAATTTACCCTTAATAATATAAAATAGAACATGTGAATGAGTGGACACGCAATCCTCTCTCTATTCTCTCTTTTTCACTTTATCAGGGATTAAAATAAGAATGTTATATTATGAGAAATAGTATGATTGTAATCCCATTTTGAAAAGGTTGTTGGTCAATAAATAAAAATTAAATAAATGGCAGTTGGCTTCATTAAGGATCTGGTTACCCAAATATAAATGCCATCACCAACTTACGTAATTTCCAATAGAAGGTGTAGTGGGTTGATTTAGCACCTAGCTAGCTCACCCACCTTAATTGAATTGAATGCATATTCCAAGGACGAAAATTGTAAATTTAGGACTCTAATGACGTATACCATGATGTACTTAGGTTCGTGGACAACCCTCCTTGAAATACTAAA